ATTATGATCTTACAATCTGCGGAATGTCGTATTAATGTTCATTTTTGTTTAAATGAGTAATTGAAATTTGAGGTATGTGAATAAATTGTAAATTATATAACATTAATTAATGTAATAATTCATAATATATAATTATATATAATAGATTATACGTAAATGAATGTATAATAGATAATAAATAATATATTTAAAAAGAATATATTCTTCGCTTTATTGTAGGAGTAAACGTTCATTTAATGTCGTTTTTAGTTAATATTAAGAATTGAAATTGATAAATATGCAATTAATTTATTTGCTTAGGACGAAATGATTTGTAATGAAATGTATAATTGCGGAAGCTCGTATATATTAAACTGATATTCCTAAATAATTTAGTTATAGTTTAAATATTTGAAATATTTATATAATGTATGTACAATTAGGTGACAAAGTGTATGCAAAATATATTTTTATTCAAGTGAAATTTAGCTTATCATTATTTCAGAACTTAATTGATAAAATAAAATAACCGATTATGTTACATTCTTTCACTTATAATTTAATTTTCTATTTATAAACTACATTACTTTATTTATTTATTATTTTTTTTTCAATATAAAAAGGCAGAGATGAAAATGAAGTTATTGATTTATATTAGTATTTTAAATAATGCATATTCAGTTTGAACTTCACCTACATCGCATTTATTAATCCGGGGCTTTTCTTCAAATATACGATTGTCGCTCGTCACATGCTTGCAGTTAAGGTTGTGCGGTTCTACACAAAACTCGATAGTCCTCGATAGAATAGGAAAGATCTTGTAATTTCGATATCGTCGTAATATCAAGACTCTGGCCAGTCATCCTCATCTGTAACACATGACGTCATTGCGATAGACGGGAGCGCGCTTATCCAGTCGACAAAGTTTACGTAATTCACGAGAGTTGATGGCCGATGATGGGGAGCAATGATGATTGCCAATGTGAATGAGGGATGAGCGTCTGGTATGACAATTTTGTCATGTGGAAAATTCAAAAGTCGGCGAATTTTGCTCGGAGGGACGTGATCAATTATTTGATAAAATGCAAGGATAATCATCTGTAGGAACGGGAACTGAGGAGGCGACGCTTAACCCCCGAGAGAATTGATGCAAGCACAAATGCGCCGAAAGTTTAGATGTCAGTGCTTACTATTGTGACATAGTCCCATAATATTCTAGATCGCTTGTGCAATTGAAAGGTATTAAATTACAGCCAACGCTTAGCCATTATTGAGTTTGTTGAAATTTTGTTAAATGATCATCACCTTAGTATTTAAAATGCATAATGACTGCTAATGACTAATAATAAAAAATTCATAGGAAAAAAATTAAAATAATTTTTAAATATTCGGAAACATTATCATTTTTCACGCTCTTGATTTATGTTAAAACATATATAGAATAATGTAGGTATTTTAAATTACTTTCTAAAGTCAATCTAAAGTCTATCAATATTTAGAAGGGATTTTTTCAATAGTATTGTATTGTATGGTTTTTTGAATTGTATTGAATGCAATGATATGGTTAATGATTGCCTGAATATAATAATGACGCAAGCATAATAATATATGCGTAATATTAATATAAAATTTAATTCAAAATCGCCACTCTATTAAATAGAACTTATTGTTGAATAATATTTAGTAATTAGCGATATTTGTGAGAAAAATGCGATAAACTATGATTATATATTTAAAAATTTTTCGTACATTGTTATTTACATCGTAGTTATTATGATTGAAAATAAAAAATTAACTTTAATGTTTTAAAGAAAAATTTATTCATAGATTATTGGCTGGAATAGAGAATCATGTTGCATTATCGAGTGTAGGTAAGCTAGGAAAAATGCCACTTATACAGTCGATAAGTTACCTATAGAAATATAAAAATCCTTATAAAATGAAAAAAAAAAAAAAAAAAAAAAAAAAAAAAAAGAAAATTATTCGTTAATTTTAAATAAAATGTAGAATTTTTTTTAATACTCATTTACGAATTAAACTAATCCATTAAAATATCTGTCTTTTTCGTCAAATTTCGAATACTCAGTATCTCATTGCTTTTAACTTCTTTATCGACTATATGAACGGTTAGAGTATTTAATTTATAATCCAAAAAATGTTTAAAACAATAAATTTATAATTTCAATAAGTACGTAATGTAAAGATAAACATTTATGTGTGGACAAAAGAAATGCAACTTTGGTGTTATTATTAATATATAAAACATAATTGTACCTTTTTTTTTCAAATTAAATTTTTATACCTTTTTAATGCATATTTTATTGTAATTATAGTATTAGTTAATTTCTTTTATGTCTTGATTTTTCCATCTAAGTTGACCCAAATACTATTCCGAGTACTTTAAAGTTATTTTCTTCATACTTTCTTAAAGTCTATTATTCGCATCAATATAAGACTCCCTGTAGTAATATGCTTCAATAACAGAATTTCTTATGATTTTAATGGAAAACCATACATTTTCCGAATACCATTTTCTTAGTTTTTTCTATTCTATTCTTTATTGTATTAATAAATGATATATTATTAGCTTTTACTTCGTTAATTTCATCTTGTATCTTTGTGTTAAGTAAATATTGGATGTAAAGCTTTTCTTATGGTATTGAAAATAGTCTCTCGATTTTGATATTTTAATTAATTTAATATCTACCAGAAAATCTAAATTATTCCTCTACGTAAGTTTTTAAATTTATTTTAGAAATTTATATTTTGTGTACTTTTACTATCGTCATTTGAAAATAGGGTTTGGTAGGAAATAGAATTCCTAATGCAATAAAGCCTTGTTTTGCTTTCCAATTTAACAATTTTCATTCAGTGTGCGTACCCTTTCCTATTAATCTTGCTATTACAAAGTTATATTTGAAAATTTTTAACTAAACCTGATTAAACATTTTTTCTTCTAACAGAACATGTATGTTTTTATAAAACATAAAATAAATTATTATAACACTTAATAAAGCGCTTGTTATTTTTCTTTATTATGTGCTTAATTGCAAAGTTAAAGTTGTGAAATACGAAATCTTTAAGTTAAATGATTTTATTGAAATGTAAGAAAAATTAAATAATGTTTATATTGCTTTTAAACTAAAAGAAAGGAGATTGTTTCAATTGAATGGTATATATACATGTGTATGTGTGTGTGTGTGCGCGCGCGCGCGTGTGTATTGTAAATCGTTATACGGGTCTTGTTTGAAAAATATCGTAGATCTAATATAAAATAGCGCACGGGTAGTTAAATAAATGAAGCTAAACCTGAGTGGAATTAATTTAACGGTTAGACAGTTTTACAAATCATGTTAATGCTAATTGCTTTTACACAAGCAAAATTTTTTCTAGTTTCTAATGAATTACGTAGGATTATTATTAGCTGAAATCAATGTTTTATGTTGTTTTTTTTGTCTTTATGATATTATTGACCTTATCGAGTTAATTTTTAAACAAAATATGAAAAGTTAAAAGTGGGTTAAAATTTTTTTTTCTTTTAAAATACACGATCATGGAGAGTATAAATAATAAGTGTCATTTTAATTTGTTAAAAAGACAAGAATGAGAAAACAAAATTTCAAACCAAAATACACTTTCGAATTTAAGTGTGATTCATTTAATTGCGAAAAACAAATGAAAATTAACAGTTTTTTTAATTTTTTATATCTATATATATATATACATACTTCATATAAAAATGATTTGTTAAAATGTTCTTGCATTTGTTGATCCATTGTTAGGTGGGGAGGGGGGGGGGGGGGGGGGGGAATTAAGAAGCGCCAATTTCTCTAGAGATTTTCCAGTCTATCGAGTCTATGAGAAAACTTATAATTATATTGTTGTCCGTGATAGCCTGACAATATATGACCTTATCGGATTATTTAGTTGTGCACTATATTTTTGTTGGACGATGATAGAGCCCTCAACCACGATATAAAGGAGCGGATCTTCGATAACTCGTCGTCAGTTTACTTGTCTCTACGGTTCAGAAACAGTCTGCTCCCATCTGTCATCTGCCATCCATCCCATCGTCTGTAGTACGCATCTTTCATCTAAGTATTTTACATTTGTTTGGGAATTCTTTTTTTCTTTTAATTTTAATTTATTTATTTTCTGTTTGTATAAATGTGCTCTTGCCATTTGCTTATAAAGATTCTTGTAGTACGTACACATAAATTAAGTACATCAGTTTTCTATAATTTTTTAGATTTTTAATTATCTCTTAAATAAACAAAGTTGGTGAAACGAGAAATTTTATATGCTTTCGAAACCTTTTACTTTAACTTTACGGGTGAAGCAAAGTAAAGTGCAATAAGCATTCTGTCAATAATAAACATTTTTTAATCATAGTTAACTATTGATTTTTACCGATAGATTAACATTTGTCAACAATGATCCATCGAATTCTCTGCAAAAATATTTGACAACGTAAGGGGCCAATGTCCGTAATATCTGTTACTAATGCAAATTTCATGTACTTACCCAAATCAACGCGATCCACTATTTTATCGAATCGAGCAACGGTTTTCTTTTCATCAAGCACATGATCCGACGCAAATATCTCTAAACTGAACCGAATTTGTATGCATGACTGGAGCTTCTATTGTCGGTTAGTCGTTTACAATAAAAACATTGGACAATAACCCGGTAGAGCACTACTTTGTTATTCGCTTACTTGGAGAACACTTTGCCACCCATTTTATTTTCGGGAAATCGGGCATTCATTTAACCGTTGCACTGAACATTAATTAATTTCATTCAACGTACTCCGTTTAAGAACAACTTGTCTGACTTTAAAAAACATTTAACACATTTCATTTACTCGTAGCAAAGATCATTATTTATATGAATTAGGACAAAATGGCAAATGTTTTTCTTTTCTTTTTATCTTATTCTCTATGATGATTTAATTGTCATCGATTTTTTGATCAAATAAGTATCATTTGTTTTACGAAGAAATTTTGATGTTTTAGATAAGCTAGTCAGTCGAAAATGTCGGCTATTCGTTTAATGTTGGTGCTGCTGGTTATAGCGGCAGTGTCGATATTTCATGTTAATGCTGCCTATCGAAAACCGCCTTTCAACGGAAGCATTTTCGGCAAACGCGCCAATTCCATTTCTGGTGAGTAAATTGATTCCAAATTTACAGAATCGCAGAGCTTCGTGTGAATAACATCGCCAGGCAAATCATTCCTACCATTTCAATATTTTCAATTCACTATAATTATTAGCCATGAATTTAGAATAAAAGATAAAAAGAAGAAGAAGAAAAAAAAAAGGAAAAAAAATAAAACAGAAAAAAGAAATGAAAAACAAAACATATTTAAATGTTCGCGTTCAATGTATTCACATGACGAATGATATTAAATGACAAATAAAATTATCCCATCCTCGTATTTTACAAAGTTTATAATACGCGATTACGAATGCGTATATTAGTAGGCGTAAAAATATATGAATTGCAATAAACATTGTGAGGGCAGAAAATAATTGTTAGCAATTACGTAGGGCTATTACGTGCTATTCATATTAATGATTTTTCTGATTTAACAGATTACGATATTGCCAACCGCGCCATGGATGCAATATGCGAGATAGCAAGGGATAACTGCAACGCATGGTACGCGCATCAAGATTCCAACTGAAGATACTTGAAGTAAAAAAAGGATCAACTTACCCCGTAGACTGAAAACCATGAATCTCATAAAAATCTCAATCTCTCTTCTTAGTCATTATGTATGAATGCTTAATGGCAATGTTAAGCTTCGATGAATAAATAATGCCGATGTCACTACATTATCTACGTTATAAATCATTTAGCGCTATGATAAATCTTAAAGATGTAACATCTCTTCAATAAATATCTAATTATCAATTATTATTACATTTTTAATCATTTGCTAACCTGCTTAAAACCTCGGACACACCCACGCACAAAAATACGAATATAAATATATTGTCATAAAGTGCGTGCGCGCGCGCGCGCGCGCGTACGTGTGTACGCGCGGATATTAATGCAATTAATAATTACTATTTTATACTTAATGTACTAAATTTTAAAAAACCATATCTATTTACTATACTATACAACACTATATTATGCGGTGAAAATTATGCGGTGTAAATATAATAGTTGAATGTACCAGTAATTTTTATAAATTTTAACGGCTAACTAAGAAATAAAATGAAATATTGAATGTATTTTTATGGGCAACAAATTAATCCCTTTTTAATTGTCTACTTAAGGTATTGCAGATGCCTTAAGTAATAAGTTGTACAAATGTAAAGAAAAAGAATACCAATCGAAACACAATTACTTAGATGCAATGTTTACTATAGCAAATTCATGCTAATATCGTATACGTAAATTCAATTTGTTTGTTTAAAAATTTAAGTACTTAACATTCGTGAAAGAAGGATAAGGGCTATTATTACCTGCATCATCTACATGGAACAACGCCATCGTGTTTAAGACACGATGGGAAGCATGTTATCGAAGAAACAACCAACACGATGATTATTATTACACATTACTACAATTTAATATTATTAAATTGTTATTATTATAATTTTCTCATTAGCCATTATATCGTTGTCATTGTAAAACCAACGAAATTACTCACTAAATCAAATCTCTTATTAGTTAATGAAAATGTTTAAACGCCTAATAACAGTAATAAAAATTCAACCAAATACCATGAGTATGTCGAACATATGTCGAACGTCATTACTAGAAATACTAGAAATTCAGAATTCCGCCAAGACAATTTATTTATAAAAATTCTTTCGTAATTTTATATAATATTTGTCGTGCGAATATCGATTATTGTATGAACAATAGCAAATAATAAAGTATGTATCAAGTGAGAGTAAAAATTATTCTTTGTATCGTGGGAAGTTTATTATAGTTTTTTTTTTTTTTTTTTTTTTTTTTTTTTTTTTTTTTTTTTTTTTTTATTTTTAATTGTTGTATTTATAAACATCATTTGTCACGAATATTCGACAGCATCGACATAATAATAATTCTATTATATATTCCATAAAATTACAATAAGAGACGAGTGGCCTGTTTAATTTAAATATTTAAACGTGAGCGCAATTTATAATTAATCGAACTTTATAGGATATATATAAACCAACGATTCTGTCCATCAAAACAGTATACCATTTACCTCAAATAAAATGAAGAATTCCAATTGTCAGACCATTATTAGGAGCTGCACTTTAACAGGTAAATTTTAAGTTTCATATTTTCTGTTTATTTTAAAATTATATAAATTGCTCAGATTTTCTAAAGGCCTTTTGTGAATCAATGTTCATCCCTTTAAGAAAATTTTAATACTTACTTTATTTGCAGCCATGTTAATTGCAATGATTCTGATATTTATTGGATATTCGCACGCAGCAGCAGCTGCGAAAGAGCCTCCGGCATTCTTTTTAAAAATTGCCAAATCTATTCCACGCATTGGTAGAAGTGACAATGCTCTCGTTGCAAATGTAAAGCATTATATATTCAATTATTTTATCGGCACAACATTGATTTAATCGAATGCTTTTATTGCACTTTAGTCAAATGGGCCTCACGATGATCCCTGGTACGAAGATTCGGATCAGCTGAATGAAATTGTTAAAAGAAAAATTGCCTATACATCGGGTGAGTATTGGAGTTAATTCGTATGGAATATCGTAAATATAGTTGAACTCAAAGCTTCATTAGACATATTAAATTAGCTATATTTTACGATAATGCTGGTAAATAGATCGCAACTGATGTAATTTTATTTTTAAATAATTAATTCTTAAAAGAAAGCGATACAAAAAATTGGCAACACTTTCCATTAGCGATCGAAGGACCACCCGAATTATGGAGAACGTTGGCTGGTTACAGTAGTAACGATCCCCTTCACAGATCATTAAACGAGTAATAACATTAGCGTTATTTATCCAATGTCAATTAAGGCCTGAAGAATGTTTCATAATTAAACATTTTCAGATTCGATAATGGATTATGGCCGAGAGACAAAAGATCGAGTAATCTGCAGCCATGACGATAATTCTGTGCAAAATGTATTCTTATTATGCTTATTTTCGTCCAAGCATAAGCATAAAATCCACAAAATATACATTGAAAAAATTATATAAAATAATTGTATATGAATGTGTGGTGATGGAAAAATTAAAATTCTGATGGAAAATAAAAAGAGTCATTACATTTATATTCCTTTTGTCTCGTTATTTGTATATTCGTAAAAATGCACCCATCGAAATTGTCGAAGAAAAAAAAAATAAATAATCAACCTCAACCAACACTTTTGATAGAATTGATTTTATAAATAATAATTATATTCATATTTTACGAAGTTCTTAGCCAAATAAAGAAAAGAAAAGAAAAAACAAAATAATTATATTATTATGATTCGCTAATAAATAATTGACTAGAATTAATTAAATATACGATATTCGAGCATTTGAATATTAACATTTCTATACGATAATTAAAATCATATATATATATATATATATATATATATATGAACATATACATGCGTATATTGTTGTTGTTTGGTTTTAAAGCAACAATCAAGTAAATGTTAAGAGACGGTGTATAAAAGTTGATGAGCACGCAGAGAGAAGAATAGCGAAAAAACAAAAAAAAAATAAGAAAAAAAAAACGAAATTAATTCCAGTATTGTTAGATTATTTAACTACTAACTAGGTACGGTAAATGCTGGAGATCTAAATCTATCTTTGTTCCTCTCCAATCATTTGGTCGACCTTTAGGATCCATAAGCAAGCCAGGATCGACGCTACGTACGACGACCTGGACGTTGTAAGAATCCAAAACCTGAGGACAATTAGCTCAAATCCACCATTCGAGATATAATATTTTGCGCGAAGCTAACGATTATATTTGTAAATAGTGATGGCGTTCTGAAATTTCGTCTCTCCCCATCTCACTCTGTCACGCGCTTCGGCAAGAATCATTATTACTTTTATCCTTATTATATTATAATATTCCTATTATTATTATTATTATTATTATTATTATTAATTATTATTACTATTGTTGTTGTTGTTGTTGTTATTATTATTATTATTATTATTATTATTATTATTATACTTTCGTCATTCTGATTGCTCATACAGTTTAAGCAATTAGTTGGTTCATTTATTCAGTTATTAAAATAACAACTGCAAAGCAAATTTATATCGAATAATTAAACAATTAATAATGGCGATAAGAAGGTCAAGGACAACAGCAGCAACAATACTAGTAACAAAATATCAAATAAGAACATTTCTCTTGGTAGTAGACGATCGATTGGAGAAAGTGACGTATGAAATTATTATTTATCCTAATAGTATAAATATATGTAAGAGATATAATCTTATCCGTGTGTGTTACTTACGCGCTTCATTAATTCGACCTTGCTCAAACGTATAATTTTACCGGCACATCTCACCGATTTTCAATATCCGATCAACAGTAAATACGTGTTTCCTCTTACCTACTACCTGAGCATCTGCCGGTAAGCAGAGCACAACATTACCAATTTGGTAATACGTCGGTCGTCGGCATCGCGTTGAATTGTCCATGAGCGTAGTTAGATGTCGCCCCAACATTCATAGCTCGTCCCTCTTCCACCGTATGACAATCAATTCTCATAATTACAATAATTTTCAGTTTTAAAGCAAACCTTTCGTATTTACGCCACCCCACTCGCGCTCGATCCGTTATTTTCATTCATTATATACGAAACGATGAGTCGCTTAATCTTACACTCATCTTTTCCACGCGCTGACCCAAATACCAGAAGATGCAATCAAAGATGATTTCGCGTTCGATCGAGCGCGTTAACTTCTTCTTTATTGGAGCGTTTCAATCTACGACTACATCTACGCTATGGGATCAAAATTTTTTCTCCTTATTTTTATCTATTGTTCGCTCCCTTTAGCCCCTCCCCCTCCCCCGGCCCAACCTCTTTATCGTCTTCTTCGACTATTGACTTTACGCTGTTTATTCAATAATCTGCGATTTGCAAGGAAAAATACCTCGCATTTTATCATGCGGATGCAATTGTTTAAATCTCTTTCTAAATCTCTCTCCTCGGTTTACGTTAGCGTGCAATGAAGAAATATTCTGCAAGTCCGTGGATTCGAGAGCGCGCGCTTCTATGGAAAATGTTGAATAATTGTTAAGGTGGTGAGGAAGGATATATGGCTTTGAACGAAATTAATAAACAGTCCTTTACAATGTCGTGCTCTCTCTCTCTCTCTCTCTCTCTCTCTTTCATTTTCTTTACAATTTAAGTGCAGACGTGCACACGAGTGCGTAATAATAGGGAATGAGGGCCGTTGTTTTGACCCTTACCCTCTTACACTGATTTAATATGATTATCTTAAGCTTATTCTTATTTCACTTATGGAGGAAGAAAATTGTTTTGTGACTTTTTAATTGGCGATTTGCAATGCTAGTAAAGTCTATATAAAGTGAGCAAATAAAGTTGGGCCGTAATCAACATTGCAACATCATATTAATTTAAATGCACGTAAGTGATGATAATAGTTGCTGGTTGCGTTGAGTTGAAAATAATCGTTGAAAAGAAAGGAAAAATTAAGAAATTTCAGCACTGGCAAAGCAAGAAAACAAATCTATAATATTGTTAAGGCGATGCTGCTCAAAAGAATATTCAATTTTCGAAGAAAGCCTTTAAATATAATATGAAAAGAAAAAAAGGAAAAGTGATGTTATCTGCTGGAACAGAAACTTTCTCCGCAGAATCGGCATATATCGTTATAACTATTTTTCAATGAATTAGTTAAAAGCAAACGTATGCGCGTATGCAGTGACAAACACCTGCCTCAGAACAGTGTTCTTTCGTGTGTGTGCGTGCGTGCGTGCGTGCGTGCGTGCGTGCGTGCGTGCGTGCGTGCGTGCGCATGTGCGTGCGTTTGTGTGTGCTGCGTATGGGCGTGCGTGTAAAATATGGTAAATTTATATAATTAATACATTATACACGAGGATTAACTTAAAATCGTAAAGTGTAAATATATTTTATTGTCAACGTTAATATTACTAGCGTCAGAGTCGATTAGCGTAGCGTCTATTTTATTATTTTTGCGCATAATTTTTTCTTTTGCAACACTGATAAGTTTAAGGATATTTCAATTAAATAAGCATAAATCGACGATGTGCATACTCATTATCATGACCATACACAAGTATAAACGAACGATATCTCTAAAGAAAATATAGTCATTTACAAAGAATTTAAAGGTATTTCTGTCAGTAGCATTTCTCGAAGAAAGGAAAAGCACAGCGTCGAATGCGTTGTTAAATAGATGATTATTAAAGATTGTCGATACTTTGTAAATAAATAGCAAAACTAAAAATATTTGAGATTTAGGAAATTCTTTTGAAAGCCGTACATTACTAAAGAAAAATCTACCTCACTTCATCAAATGACAATGGCTTTTATTAATGGACGTTAATTTTGAGTTATTTATCCGAGTCATAATGTATCTCAAGTTTCCAAGCCCTTAAACGCTAGTCTGAAATAAAAGAAAATGGCACGTTACGTGTAATGACGTGAAATCAAAACGAATGGCTCGATTAGGGGCTACTGTAATGCTTTCAAGCAGCGCTGTCGAGTAAAACATTGTTTTTTTCTTTTACTTTTCAGTTTGGATACGACGGCAATCAAGCCAAACAAAATTCGAAGCGATAAAAGTAATCTCGGCTGAAGAATAAGCTTGGCATAGGAAAGTATTTCCAACGTTTTTCCGATAATTAATTAATAAAACAGCGAGAGAGAGAGAGAGAGAGAGAGAGAGAGAGAGAGAGAGAGGGGGGAGGGGCGATAAAATCTGATAAATGAGAACGGCTGATTATTTCAGATCCTTCCCATCGGCCTTTCGCCGAAGTCATACCGAATGTCTAATCTAAATTCGTCAATTTAAAGGAGTAATTTAAGCCAGTATACATCTAAAACAAAATGCTTAATCCTTATGTCTACCCATAAAGACGTCTAACTCCTTAAATTGGCATTTTATAGATGCGAATTTGTAAGAACATTATTGAAAGTCTTGAAAGGATAAAAATGCGCGAGGTTGGATGCATCGAGCGCCGCCCCGTAGCTTTCACTTCTCCCGCAGAGACAAAAATTTTATAGAGACACTTAAGTTTACTAGTTATCGAAATATTCTCGGTACAGATCGTATCTAAATTTTAAAGTGCAGCCTTTTGCATACTCGGCGCTCGAGCACACACGTATTGCAGAAAGATCGCGATTCTGTGAAAAATCGTAAAGAAAAAAGCGATGAGGCCCCGAAGGATAATAAAAAGCGGTAATGATTATCGGGAGAAACGCTCTCCGCGCGGAAAGACATTCGTAAACGAATTTTTAGAGCAGTAGACTCGCGCGCCACCGGCGCCGGATTTTTCTTTTATTGCCGATATTTTGCGCTCGTGCGCTTGTAACGTCGCATTACGTAATGAAATGGAATTTCGCCATAGAGCCGATAAGACACTACGACCATTGCAGAATGCAGGCAAATGCACATTAGGCATTTTTGCCTCGTGGCTAGAGAGTCGCAAGAACGTTGCATATTTTCGGGAAATTTTCGGAGACGTGCAAAGAAGTAAAAATCCTCTTCTGTACAAAGTCATTTGATATAATACGTGATAGTTGGTTGTGAATTTCGCGCATACGGCTTTTTGTCGCGAGTAGGGGGAATTTGCAAATGAATTTCGTTCACGATATCCTACTATTGCGTTTAAGATATTTTCGTTTATATGTTGAAATATTTTTCGTTCTCCCTTCGATTCCTTGCAATTTAAGCTGCTACGTTGATAGCGAATGAGATAAATAATATAAAATATCCGTAATAATCGAAATTTTTTAATTTTTAAGCTGAAATGATCTTTCCTCCACCCATTACTACCACCACCACCACGGGTAGTCAAAATTAATTTCTAAATACATAATTTTCCAATGCGATTGCAAATGCATTTAAAAGTCTACTATCTGGTTAAGAATAGTGACGATTTTTCTTCTTCTTTTTCTTCTTCTTCTTATTATTATTATTTTT